AGGGCCTAAAAATTGAGCCCTATGTTATTTTTTTTTTTTTTTTGAGAACACAATTTCTTTTCCTACTGATCACATCTCCCCAGCACTGCTCAGCCACACTCCTGCCACGTGCCCACGGTGCCGCGCTTTGCCTGCCACGCAGCTCAGAAGCGGCGCGGGGCGAGCACGCCGCCCCGGCACTCAGGGTTGTCTCTTGGCAGATAGGGCTATCAGGATACAACAAAGTGGGAAAGATCTGGGTGTCTTTGAGCTTTCTCCCCCTCCAACTCTCAGAGAAAAAAAAAAAAAAAAACTCACAGCAAAACCCAGCACAATTTTTCACCACCTGGACAGCTGCAGATATGCAGTGCTGTAGCTGTAAGTTCATCCCTGCGATGAGCATATTTCAATTCAAGTACTCATCATTTTTTAGCTTAAGAGTCTAGCACAGAAAGGTCCCAAAAAAGGCTCTTTCAATTTTCAATTAATCCAATTCATTGGAGGAAGTAAATCTGTTCCCCTAATTTCACTGTAGGTTTGTGCTGAGGTCTGTTATTTATTAATCCTCCTTTTTGTCATCATTTAAATTACGGTTTTCAATATAGAGATCTTCTTTGTATTTTTCAGTCATGCTTCTGATAAGTCTCAATATCCTTCTTTGTTACTTAACCACCTTCCCCAGCACTGTAGCTGGTTCAGTAACTCCATAGAATTTAGTTAATATACTTTATTTTCTAGGCTATTAACAAAGACATTAAATATTATCCCAGAACTAATATTACCCCTTGGTTAGGCATTCCCCAGAGCTACATGTAGCATTACTCTATTTATAGAATAAGCGTCTCTCCCACTTTAGATGATATGGCAGCATCTCCATTAGTCAATTTGAACCAATTTTTCAAGAAAAAAAAAAATCATGAAATTGTATCAAATACTTCGCTAAAATACAAATATATCACATTTACTGCATTCCCTCATAGGCCAAATTTGTATTTATAGCAGAAAGATAATCATTTGATATGCCTTTCATGCCATGATTTTAACTTTCCTGTCTTCCAGCCAAAATATATTCATGGCACTGTGCTTGCAAACACAGAATCATTGCACATGCAAATCTGAAACATAACAGTTCTGTGGTCCCAGAGGTGGAGCGAATCTTAGCTGTGTGAGCACACACTGAACTCATTTAAATCTCATCTCCCACCCAAGACAGCTGACCCCTCATTGTGATTCAGCATACGCACAAATAAATATAGGGTAATTAAGCTCTCTCTGATACAATTTGTACAACTTAAATAGCTTCAAATGCAAAGCACAGAGCTGTATGCAATCAGCTTCAATCCCTGCTTTGCTCCGCATCCTGCTAAATCTATATGACAAACGAGTCTTTTCAGAAACACGCACGCACACCAGGAACAGCTTTATGCCCCCAAAGCTGGACATCAGAGCTACTTGCAAGGTCAAGCTGTGAAAAAAGTAGCATTAAGACACAAATTACGAATGACTGTTCTCATCTGTTGGCCTCTCTCAATCTTGGCTTTTAAGGTGCATGTTAAAACAGCCAGGGAAACACCCTCGCTCAGCTTGCATCTGGATACTCCTTCTTTGATTCAAATGTAGCTCTCGATATTAGGTATTTATTTTTCAGCATGTATTTGGCACCATGAAAATGAGGGGCTACAACCCATTGGACAAAGACTGGCTGTAGCTGACTGGGGCTGAGCTCTTTCATCGAAACATTTCCCTGTCTCCTTCCCAGTTACACAAGTGCAGACAACCCCATTTGGGCACTAGCGTAAACACCAGAAATCAAAGCCTGGAGCTTCCAAAGAGCAACCAACTTCAGCCCGAGCAGCACCAGGTTGGGGCACAATCACCAGCAGCTCCAGCAGCTGCGGCGCAGGCCCCAGGCGCCATGCACAGCTATCAGCTCCTGCATCCACGGGCTGCGGTTTTCAAGCACCCCGCCAGGCACAGAAAAAGAAATACGCAAGTGAAACATTAGCTGTACTCAACAGGATTAATAATACTATAATTAAGACACTTGGATTAAATTCCATTTAAATCACAATGAGAATTCCCCATTAACCAAACTCCAAAAAAGTCTATTTGTTAAGATTTAAAAAAATGTGGCCCTAGAGAGGTAGTTCTTTGTTCTCTTCTATTTGAGGTATCTCCTTTAATCCTTAGATCATTTTTTTTTTTTTTTTTTTTTAAAAGGGGGGAAATATATAAAAGTGTTCCTAGTCTTACGTCTCTTGCTCACGTAGCAAGCATGATGAGCACAGAAAGCAGCAGGCTGGCAAACAGACTGGGCAGTAAATAGATCCAAACAACTTGTGTACAGTCCAGTCACTTCTTGTTTAGGCACGTTCCGCGCCCAGAAGCTGAAGCGCAGAACCACGACGGTCGGGTATAATTTGGGTCAGCGCTCCATGGACACTCTGCTCTCATCTGCCAAGACACTGGCATGTCCGTCGCTCCCAGGTCCTTCCTTCTACTAATCCTGTAGACAGCATTAAAAATACCGAATTTCTGAAAGGGGGGCAGAAATCAAAACATCTATGGAAAGACGTTTAAAATGGATTTTATACGCGCTTCTGTGCTGCTTCCCACTCCATCTCAAGGGTGGGAAGGCCTTGAAGGGAAAACAGAGGAAAAATCCTCCCCTTATGCAAGAGCATCCCACTAGCTTAGCGGGGCTGGGAGCTACGTGGTCTTCCCCACCGCTCTGTGGCTGTTCAGAGCGCGGTGCTGCGTCACTGTGGTGCAGACATCGTCACGCTGGGATCCTCCGATGTCACCGCAGCTCCCATTTTAGCATCAGGGATATTCCAGTAACGCCGCTGCCAAATCTAACACAGCTGATTATCTTTTCTGCTCCACTCCATAACACCATTTTATAGAACAGCCTTGTGTATTATGCATACAGTATTCAGGGTCATGGAGCTAACAGAGAGCAGATATCCACAGGAGCAGCTTAAAAATTTACAGTGCTAATGCAGACAAATTCCCAGAGCGCAAATAGACCATGCAGTGGCATTTGATACTGTGTATGAGAACTGAAGGAGTGTGATAAACATGAAGAGAAAGAGAAAACAAGATGCATACACTGCTGATGGATGCTAAAAAGCAAAAGCGTGTCCGGCCCAAAACAGGAAAAAGAAGGAGAGTAAGAATAACAAAGTGCGTCAGGGCTCAGCAGGTGGATTTCTCCTCCTTCAGGGCATATACTCCCACAAACACACGCACGTTTGTCCCACGTGCAATGCCTGCAAAAATTGCCAGAAGTGTCACAGCGAGTAATGCCCCACAGAAGATAAAGAAATGAAGAGAAAGCTTTATTTAACAGTCCAAAGCACAAAGCAGGCCCCCAAAAATGCAAGGTTTGGAAACTACCTCAATTATTGTGTGTAGCGTGTGTCTAAACAACACTCCACATGAGGTGAAGCTGCACGGTCGTCCAGCTCTGAAGTGACATATGGCTACAGAGTCACGCTTATGACAATCTGGCAGCTCCTAAGCCTTGCTTCTCACCTTGGAAAAATGCAAGTCATTTTCACCCACTACAGCAGCACCCGGGACCTCTCTCACAGCACGTTACACCTTCATGCCCCGACCCCGCTGCTGGTGCGCTTTGTGGGACCTCCACCACCCGCTCCGCGTCGTGGGAAGCGAGAGGCCCCTGCGCTGCTCCTGCGGAGGCCCTGAGCAGAGGGTGACCTTCACTCAGTGATTACTGCAGCCCCCAAATCCAGCCCTCAATACAGATCAAAGTATAACCATGCACTCGTGTTAGTAGCATCTGATTTTCCACCATACTTGCTTCCTTTTCTGTCATCCTTTCGCACTAAGGATAATAGCGAAAACACATCTAAATCCATCCATTACCGAGAAATGCTCGTGTCTAAGGTGCTTAAAAGGGAACTCAATGTTAGATTGCTGCAGACATGCATCACAGCCTGCTTCCTTCGCAAGGATGCTTTGCTAGGGAAGCTCAGAACTCGCTGTGTTTTGAGTCTAGCTCTTGTCTTCTGTTTCTTACTCCTTCAGCTTTCTGTGGTAAGTGTTGCTCATTGGCCTTCTTGGCTAGAGTTAACTTAAAACTGCTAAGAATATAGAGCTTCAGAAGCTGCTCATGCTCTCTCGTTACAGCTCTACTCCTGACTCCCCATCCGAGTCACCTGTTGCTTCAGATAAGGAGCAGAGCACTTGCTAAACCTCCTCCAGTTGCTTCCTGCACTCGCAGAGGCGCCTCAGCCCCGTGAAGCACTTCAGTGTCTGCTCTGCTGCGGTTTCACCCCGGCGCAGGGGCGGCCCCGCTCACCCAGCACACAGGCAAGGGCGCCGCTCTGCCCCACGGTTCAGGAGCCCCAAGAGCACCCGTCACAACCCTCGCCCGCCTCGGCCCTGGCTGGCACAGGAAGAAGCTGGTCAGAGCCAGGTGACACCAGCTCAGGAGCACCTGGTCACCTCTCTCTCTCGTGGCAGCTCACTGAAACAGGCACATCAGTAGCTACTGGCAGCACCGCAGCACTCACAGGGAAGGTAAACGTGGGAAGTTCCGGCCTCTGCAGCTCTCTCCTGTTGAAGGCGCCTGTCCCAAGTGGGCAAACACTGCTGGGCATGGCAGTAGCAACACACACAGCAACAGATTGAGTTCTGCTTTGATGGCAATCCAGAGTCTCTATCAGAAAATTAATTCATACTAAAGAAAAAGAAATAAATCTACTCTTTTTAAGAGGTTGCTTCGTAATTAATTATACTCCAGCTTTTAAAGCATTTTACAGAGAGCAGTTCTCTCCCTGTCACTAATATAATTATCTCACAAGCTGCATTTTATGGCAAGCCGGAATTGAGAAGCCTAGCCTGGCATAGCGGCAGCATTTTCCTAGGAAGCTTCAGTAGGTGTTTACAACAAATATTGGCAAAAGCAGGTAATAAAATACTACACAGCCTTGAGACAAAAATTAACGAGACAATAAGCATTAAGAAATTAAGCGGCGAGCGCTTGCTCTGTTCTAGCGGCAGTGCCCACACGGGCGCTCGCCTTGTCGCACCAGGCTCACGCGCACTGCGACGCTGCGGATCCTGCCGGGGCCTCCCGGCTCCCGGGCGCCCTGCCGCAGGGCGCAGGGCTCTGCCTGGCCCTGGCACCGCTTATGCAACTGATGCACGTCACACGGAGGAGTAAACTGCTTGTGCTTTTTCTCAAAGGCACAACCAGAGTTCAAGTTAAACCTTCCAGAAATTCAAGGGAAACAGCCTTAAAACTGAGCTCTGTCCCTCTGCCCTATCATCCAAAACCTTCCCTGCTCTGCAGCAGTTTCAAACAAATTAGAAATAATGAGACTGGAAATAGATTATTTTCATTCTACAGGAAATTCTGACATTTCAGATTTGTTCTGCTCTAAAAGAAACGAGACTAAAGCTAAGACTACTAAATCATGTTCATTTGTATTATTAGAGTTGTGTAAAAGAGTAAACCAAAACCTCAAACATGAAATATTACCTAAATTAGTTTTAAAACATACATGTAATAAGAACAATAAAAGCAAAACAAAACAGCCTGACATTAATCAAAGCAATTGGATACAACCCAGACACAAATGAAAACACTTCATCATCAAAAGACAGAGACTCTTGCAATGATTTTACCAAAACTGCATTTCTCCATAGAAAACACTGGGGTGGCTTTTATTTTTGAATTTCTCTCCAAGGCAGCCCATCAAGCAGGCTAAAGGACATTCCCCTGCGTTTTCGTCCAACTCAACGAGAAAGCCTCAGAGGTGCAACAAGTCCCTGACGCCCTTGCTCTGCAGACAAGGGTCACCAAACAGTTTTGAAGAGCCTTAACCTAATACTCACTTTTCAGGTACTATTCCACACCCTTGACAAATGAAAATTACTGCATTTCAAACCAGTGATGTTCACTTGAGCCAAATTCAGTCTGTCATGAGACACCTACTAGAGCTCTGCACGTGCAAACACCAAGGTCAGCCCTGGTGCCTGTGTCTTGACATCTCCCATTTGGGGACATGAACAGCTTCTGAGTAAACGCACCACAGCTATAAACCCTAAACCCGCGACTCCCTGTCTGCATCCTCTCCTCACTAGCTACCAGCTTGGCCAGGAAAGTATGTCAGAAATTTGCGGGCACCATTTTCTTTTTAAAAAAGGTGATTAAAACCAACATAAAATAATGTCTGTTGGAGTATTTTATGTGCGAAATTACTTCATTACAGAAGTCAACTTTTATACTGCTTCTCAGACGTATCAATTTGTGCCCCTCTGAGAACACCCTCAAAGCAGAATAAAATTAAAGACTCTCCAGAGATTTTAAGGCCTTAAGAGATTTTATTCATTGATGACAGTATAAACTACATCTGAGTCAGAGCTCCATCAAACTAGATAGTCCTCTCCCACAACAGCCCAGAAGCCAAGTAAAGGCTTTCTCCAAGACCCCCCTAGTTACGCAGCCACCCTCTCCAAGATGCCCCCTTGGAGTTCCTCTGCAAGGATGATTTTACTGCCTGGACTGCAAGCGACCTTGGATTAGGAACAGGAAAGCTGCTGGGCAACGTAGGTCACTATGTGACTCACTGAGCAATGCCTGGCTTCCTTGTCGCAGACTAAAGCTTACCCACAATCCTCACCCTCGCAGGCCAAAGGGAAGAATAGTCAGTCTCAAACACAGGCTCGCATAGAAACAAGGCACTTGCACGAATTTCTGCTTAATAAAGAAGTTAAGAACGTTTCAGGACCTTGTCTATCTCACGCTATTTTAACTAAACTCCTCATATGTCCTGAACTCAGGTCAAGTTGATGTTGGGTTTTGCATTTTTGGTACAACAAGGAGAATTCAACAGTTGTATAGATGAATGGATGGAGCCCTAGCGGGAATAGGGATTACATACCTTAAATTGTTATTATTACTTTCTTTTTTAACCTTTTCCTTACAACAATCATGAAAAAATTTGTCAATGAAGGGTGCTAGCCAGTGAACTTTGCTTCCGATGAAGAGATCGGTATTTTGAGGGTTGCAGCAGTACACACACAAGTGTTTCAGTAGTGGCAAACCCAACGTGCACAAGCACTATGCATTGTGTTGTCCATTCTTTATTAATTTATACCAAACCAGTGGCATCTGAATGTCCTAATAAAAGAACTAGCGTGTATGTGTGACATTTTACAAAACTGCAGACACTGAACTTCGGGATGTCCAGCTGTCCTTGGCCAGGCCAAAGCTCCAGCTCCACGAGTCAGCCTTTCTGCAATAATTCCCAGCCAGGGGACAACATGTGGGGTACACATGCCAGCAGTTTGCAGCTACAGGATTAGACTCCAGAATTATTTTTCTGAAGAGCACTGCACACGTACATGCGTAGCTGTCTAAGTGGCACAAACAAGTGGCACACAGGTTTTAAGGGAAGGAGTTGAAGACTAAAGTAGAAATAAGGCAATTTAGAAAAACAGATCTCAAATCCCACTGATTCTGAAACAAAATATTAGCACAGAAGCTATGGCTTCAAAATGCAATTTCAGAAAAAACATTAACTGTAATCTAAGTCTAATTTTATTTTCTGTATTCAAATTTGGTTGAATACATGCTCTTAGCATTGTCTATTAAAAAATCCCATACAACAATTTTCTAAATATCTCATTTGCAATTTTGCTCTGTAGTTGAAAAATTCTAGCACTGCAGCTGCAAAGGCTTCTAAACCTGCCTTGTTTTCTGACCATATATTCACAGTTACACAGAAAAATATTTGAGCTGCTGATTTCTTTCAGCCTTATGTATGTTGGCTGACAGACACTGCTGCTCAGCCCCCATCCTCTTGCCCATTGAGGGGCCTTTAGGTTACATAATAGGATGTAATTTAACTTGGTGATATGTAATATAACCAGATGCAACAACAAAAATAAAGTCTTATCATAGGTATAAAGCGCTGCAAAGGATACTCTCTGGTTGCTGTTCATTCTGTCACCACGTACCAACAGGTGATAAAAATGTAAGAAGATTTTTTTAAACGTGCTTCACTAACACGACTATAATCTCTTCTGTTCTCCTCCTTTAATCCCTCAAGATCTTTTTTAATAAGCCTCTCCCACAGAAACCGATTAAAATCTACATCTTTCATATCTTTTGATTACATGAAATGGCACAAATGCTACTTCGTGTAAAGTGTTAGTAATTACCCTGAAACTGTTTTAACAGGCTGCTTCCTTAGGTTTATTTATTCCTGGATGCCCATGAGTGAGCACAGTAGGCCATTACATTACAGTATTTCAGCACCAACAGGAAATCAGAGGGCAGTATGATACTTACTGCAAGACAATTTTAGAATAAAAACTAATAAACCACCTGTATCAGTGTTATTAATTACCAACAAATTAAATTACTCCGGCACAATCTGAAAGTTGCTTGAAAACACAAAGGTTGACTTAGAGGCAAAGCCATGGCTCTCCCCACCTCACAGCCTGGGACAAAAACCAAGCAGGAGGCAATTCCAAGCCAAGAGGAGCGCGAGTCACCCACCCCCAGGGGCCAAGGCCGCTCTCCGCGCTGGGGCACCTCGCTGCCTGGCGGAGAACCTTTCGAGGCCGCTGGGGCTGGAACGTGCTTCTCCTTCGACACGCTCTTGCCCGCTCTGCTCTGTTTTGGCACGGCCGTAGCTGAGAGCCTCAGGTAGCGGACAGCCCTCCAGTCCTCCTGGAGAAATTGCTCCTTACGCAGCTCCCACGGCTCTTCGAAGTCTCCTCACGTTTGGGCTGGGAAACAACAAAGGTCTCCAAAAGCAGGTTTCTCTTCAGAGTGGCTTGTACAGCCTCCAAGGGGGCTGAGATTCAGGGGGGACACTGCACAAAGGCTCAGGAAGGGACGGGGCCATGCGCAGCGCTTGCTTTACCAGTCGTTTCCAGCCAGCAGCACAGCGACAGGGAGCACACCAGGGCTTCCCCTGTGCTCCGCTAGCCTTAGGAGGAGATTCTGAGCAGAGGAGGAGCAGGCAAGCAGGCCTCAGCACCAGCAGTGCCGAGAGAGAAAAAACCTAGGCCTTTGTTACACCTAAGCATACATTATTTCCCAAAACCTCCTGAAAGAGCAGCATCCAAACAGAAACTACGCATGCACAAGAAAGCTACTAGGGCCTGAGCTTCAAATCCTCCTGCAGGGCAAAGCCACTGCCCTCCTCCAGCAAATGGAAACCACCACAGAGGATGCTGCATGCTGAATGGATGTGCTACTGAAACATCAGGAGATACATCAGAGTGAAAGCCTTCACTCAAAATGCATCCTCTACTTGAAAATGCAATTAAGCTCTGTAAAGACCTACGGAAAAGTATGAGAACAAGAAGCTAACATCAAGAGCCTCCCCTCCCATTCTTTAATCAGGTCCTATGTAGCTACCCATCAGGTTCTTAGCATGTAATTCCATGCTAATTGCCATTTGTAATTCCAAATAAGCCAGGGTTATCTGCAAAAAAAACCCAAACTCCTTCATATGAAGCACTGTAAGCAACAATTGTATAACCCAAAACATTCACGGGTAGTTTCAAGTGAAGCCTGTCTCATAGCTACTTCATTAATAGCTTCCCAAACTCTGATCCCCCACTGCCTGTTCCCTCACCTTCTTGTCTCTTCTGACTTGGAGCAAGTTAAGTGAGAATTTCAAGAAAAGCCTCTTCAAAGGGTACAATTCACACACATGAATGTGACTTTTCTTTTGGGGACAGAAAAGACACTGCTTACTGTAGTTTACAGCTCCATTTCTGACAAAAGATTTAAAGCAATTCTAACAACTCTGAATCTACATGTTACTGACTCATGTACGTATTTGACTGACCAACCGCATCGCTCTCCGAAAGAGCAGCTCTGCGGCCAGCTGCCCAGCTGTGGGCAGCCACTGGTTATGGCGCAGCAAGGGAAGAGGGCAAAGCAACTGCACACCACTCATCTTGGCCTATGCTCAGAAAAGGAAAAACTTGATGACACTCCTGGTAACCCTGCACAGAAACCAAGCATGTCAGGTCTCACAGGTCTGACACTTTATGCACGTGTCAAAAACAGCACAACTTTTCATGCTTAATCAAAGCTGACGGGGACTGTGAATTAATTCATATGCTAGCAGTTAAACAATTCATGATCTGAAAGAGGTAAGACTATGATCCAACACAAAAGCAAGGTGGTATTTGTGCTGCGTTATGAACTGTTCAAGCACTGTACAAAACATTTATGCAAT